GCTTGTTTTCGAAGGTATAGTTTTTCAAAGCGAATGGAATTTTGAAAATTCGAGGACATAGGGATATTGCGCTTTCTGCTGATATAAGTCAATTTTTGTTTAGTCAAACGAAGGGTACAAAATAGCTTTGACGTGTACCTCATTTTAAGCAATTAAATTTTGACTGGAAAATGACATTTTAACATATTTCATTTATTTTTGATATGGTTTGAATCACACTTCTTGTGCATCGAATGATGGTTAGTTTTAATCTGATTTCGTTTAATAGTTTGCTTTTTGGAAGAGAAAAACCAATAGTGTCAAAGTTTACGTAAACCTTAAAAATTCTAGAAATGGATTTTTTTCGAGTTAAACATTTATGGTCTGGTCTTCACTCTTTGACAGGAAATTAGTATGCTTATGTTTTCCTTTTTTTGTATCATCTCAATGGAATTCAAAATACGGTAAATTCTTCTCTACTTTTTTATACTCTTGTCCAAGCCTAATGGCTTCCCAAAAACATTCTTTGGATAACTTCCTCTGGCTTCACAGCGTGGAACCGTGATATTTTCGCGACCCTGGTGGTGTACAATAACAAAGCATATTCATGAATCAAGTTGTAACTCCATGAAAAGAACCTCTTATAATATATAATCACACGTTATTTTTAAGCAGTGTATTGTAAAATGCCTAATTTGAATTTTTTTTCACACCGATAATTATGCATTTGCAATCATTTGTCTTTTGGCATGCATGCCTGAAGTTTTAAATTTTTAGAGAATCAAATTTCTAAGAATTTTAAAAAAAAGCGCCTATTAACAGTTTTTCAGGCTGCTAGCATCTCGTTCACAGAAATTAAAATGGATTTTTGATGAATTATTACAATGTACTTGAAAAAAGGAAAATTGAAGAGAAGAGGTTCTAATAATTGAAACCCTGTGGTGGCAATTCTTAATACTAGACCATTTTCATTTTTCAGCTTTGGCTGACCCGTATGAAAAATTTGTTTTTCTGACTTATTAACTTGCCCGGTCCGGCAGCAAAGTCAGGTTTGAATTCACTTAGTTGTTTTTATCCTTGGTGGATAAAGTAGTATTATTCCCCTTCGTAGGTATAATTTGTGCTTTGTGTGGACCGAATATTTTGGAGAGGGTTAAGCAAAAAAATGAAATTGTTTGCTACACTAAAACAGTCTATTTTAGCAATTAGAGTTTTTTCCAGTTTTTTGCAGGCACAGGGGAGCCGTTTTGGGAAGTGTGGGGATCCTAAAAAAATGCGAGGGCTTTTATAAACCAATTGTAATTTATGGCTTTTGCTGGTTAGCTTCTTCTTCAATTAATTATTACAATTTTTTTATAAAAAGTGAGGTGTTTAAAGGTCTCTCCCGCCTCCTCCTCGATGTCTGGGTTTTTGACGTCCACAAAACTTGTTTTACAAATTTTTTGAATTTTTAACCACATTTAAATAAAAAACCACGATGAAATACCTTCAAAATATGCCAAATAGTGGAAATATATCTAAATCGGGGGAGATATGGCAAGATAAAAAATAACTTTGAAGTTTTTTCGGAGTACTTGTTTTTATTTTTTACCTGTTTTCTATAATTCGAACCCAAAGTTTACAGAGGTTTTTGGTGGGAAAAAGAGCCCTGTGCTAATGTAACCATATTTTTGCCAACACAATTTGACTGACTTTGTAAGCCTTAGAAGGTATTTTCACGAATGCTCTTTTCAGTTTTTTTTGGAATCTAAATTAAAAAATTGTAAAAATTGATTTTGTGACCCGTATAACTTAAGAACTTCCTTTTTTAAATCATACGTTCGTAAAAAATGTCCGATAGATTTATTAAAAGTGTTTTCCTACTGGAATAAGGCAAAACAAGGATAAACATAAATTTTGATTTTGTTTTAAATTCATCTTGGTTTGTTCATTGGTGTTTTTTTTAAGCATTCAATATCCCTTTTGGCATAGTTTAGCAATTGATTTATTGGTTTTTCACGTGCACTAACAGGAAATAAACTCCTTGTTCAAATTTTTGGTATGAAATCCTCTGCAGAAATTTGAATTGATGGTAGTCCTTTTAATGAATGCTTATGGCCCACTCTTACACGATAAGTTTTCCAATGGTATGGGCACCTTCTTCAGACGATCCACCTGTATCTCACAACCACTTAGTTATTTGGCAGCCCCTCTTGTTTGTCGGTGACAAATCCCTCGTCAAATCGCATACGCATATTTGCATAACAAAAGTTGGCAAAATTTCTTGAAACTTTTTGCACATGTACCAGTTATCCACACTGCATCATGATAGGATTTGCTATCCAAAGGCCAGTGATTTTTTTTAATCAAATTAAACTTTTTTCTTTACCAAATGAAACTATTGGTTTTATTACTGTACAAGTTTTTTATTCGAATTATTTAATTGCGTGATCAGACTTGAAATGATATATGTGAGCGAAAATCAATCCTTTCTATTGAGTAATATATTGGGCTATCACTCTAACGCAAATTTTGGATTGACGGTTAGTTGAAACTACCTATTAAGCTTAACAAGAAGGTAGCAAAGAATATACAGACGCGCTACTAGAGTGAGCGATGAGTGATACTATTGGTTCTATAGTTAAATGGGATCCATGATCATTCAGATCATTGATCGGAACGGCGGATAGTATTACATACTACGAGTAGGAGATCCGATAATGCTTTGAAGGGTTTCCGTATGGTGGAGTGTTTAATACAAAGTGGGTTTGCTTAATTATTTAAAGATTCTTTACTATTTAGCCACAATGGTAGCGGTCGTGGGATACAATACGGGTCCTTAAAACAATATCGGGTCCCCTATTCAAGAATGGAGTTCCTATTCTTGATGTAGCCACATGTGTGATCACCGATTATTGGCGAATTAGGACGGGTTCTTTATCAAGTTAATCGGAGGTCCATATTTTTGGGGTTCCAATAGGTTGATATGAAACAGCCAACGAGTTTCCGTTTTTATTTCGGGTTTCTTTAAACTGACTCCTCTTCATCACGATTAATTCAGGGTGTTGTCTCCTCTCCATCTTACAAACTGCCTTATTCTAAACAAAATTTATTTAAGTAGTGTCATTGTGAGGACGTTGATTGTCTATTATGTTGATTCAATACTGCGAATCGAAGCCCAATCAAGAAAAATCTACGGACCATAGAGCAAAGGTACCGCATCTTCCTGCTGTGTTAGGTGCCGCACACCAAAGTATCCATCCATACCGATCTAGTGCACGAAGTATCATATAATGATAGCACTGCGAGGAAAGAATAAACATTGAAGCAGATGCGCGAACTAACTCTAGTGAACTGAGCAGAGCAGAGTGACCGTGAGAGTCGAACAAAAGCGCTTGTCAATGTCTTGAAAGTCCCGATTTGTGTTAGGTGATCTTGTGCCTGTGCTTGTTGAAAATGATTGGAGAACAGGTATGGCTTTAATTTCAAGTGCTATAAGTCACGAGTATGGGAAAATATTCAATTTTTCAGCGGTCTGGATTGAGGAGTGTGAGTTAAGTAAAGTAACTATTGTGTTGAAAGCGCAGTTATTTTGTAGTGAAAAGGAGACGACAATTTTTTATTAGGGTTTATCTGATATGAGTGTGGCTGAGCACGCAGATGGTTTGGTAGGAGGGTTTAGATATTTGATTGATGGTTTGAGTCGAATAGAGTGTACCTGTTCTACATTTCTTCGACTCGTCATGGGGATAAGAAACTTTGAGACCAGGAAAGCACTTAACGAGCGTCTCTATCTTATAGACGCGTGTTTTGTGGGTAGAAATTGCTGTGTTGTTTCAAAATCCGATAAATACAGATCGAAAACACTGAAAGCAACCCGAAAAACACTCGAAACCGGAAAACAACTGGGAAAAACAACCGAAAGACGACTGAAAATACACAGAAAAAGCAACGAAGAAAACATCGGAAAACGAACAAATACCCGCACAAAAACTTGAAGAGTAACTGAAAACACGAAGGAAACACTGAAAAACGCAATGAAAAGCAACCGAAAAACACGGGAAAACACGAAACACTGAAAACACTAAAAAACAAAAAACACGAAAAAAGACTGCAAACAACTGAATATAACATGAAAAATGGAAAAGCACCGAAAACTGAAATAACATTGAGAACACTGAAAAACAAACGAAAACACTGGAAAAGGACCTAGAAAAAACAACGAAAGAGTTAACTGGAAACCTAAAAAAAACGAAACTCCGAAAAAAAACACTGACAGACAGAAAAACCAACATTAGCATAAACTGAAAAGCACCCGAAGAAACCCGAGAAACAAAACGAAAACTGCGAAAAAGCACTAAAAAACAAACCGAAAAACGCTGCCCTGAAAAGACACGAAAAACACTATGCATTAGCACACCTGAACGAGCAATGCCCGTAAAACAGGGGTGACCCAGGAAAAGAAAAGCGAATGCGTAACTATGAAGAGATAAAGCTAAAAATCACCGAAAACAAATGAACAAAGCACCGGAAAAAGACTCGGAAAACATAAAAACACGAAAAAGTGCGTACAGTAAACACTGAATAGCACCTGAGAAAAATGACAACACTGAACTAACACTGATCATTACCTGAAGAAAAACAATTGAAAAACAACCGAAAAACAACGAAAAAGAAAAAACAACGAAAAACACTGGAAAACACCGAAAACACCGGAAAACACTGAAATAGCTGGGAGCAAACTACGAAGGACAACTGAAAGAAACACTGAAACAACGAAAACAAAGCGGAAACACACAAACAACACGACTGATAGAACATAAAAAACAGGCAGAAAGGAACTCGAAAAAAGCAGCTGAGTAACACTGAAAAACACTGAAAGCCACCGAAACACTTGATAACACTTGGAAGACACTGAACACAAACGAAAAAACACTGGAAAAACACCGTAAACAACGAAAAACACTGGAAAACACTAAAAAACACCGAAAAACACTGAAAAGCACCGAAAAACACTGCATAACACTGAAAAGCACCAAAAAACACCGAAAAACAACGAAAAACACTGGAAAACACTAAAAAACACCGAAAAACACTGAAAAGCACCGAAAAACACTGCATAACACTGAAAAGCACCAAAAAACACCGAAAAACAACGAAAAACACTGGAAAACACTAAAAAACACCGAAAAACACTGAAAAGCACCGAAAAACACTGGAAAACACTAAAAAACACCGAAAAAGACTGAAAAACACTGAATAACACTGAGAAACACTGAAAAACACTGAATAACACTGAATAACACTGAAAAACATTGAAAAACACTGAAAAATACTGAAAAATACTGAAAAACACTGAAAACCACTAAAAACCACTGAAAAACACTGAAAAACAGATGTATGCATTGCGAAGTTCATAAAAGAGAATCGCATGACTCACATAATTTTTTCACGTATCACCTATTGAACGGCAGGCGATGCCTCTCTAAAACCCTACCAAATTTGAAAAAGAAAACAAATTTTTCTCACTCTCAGTCTCAAAACGAAAACTCTTTAGAACATTGAGGCCAATAAAATTTATATTTTTTTATAAAAAATCTTATTGGGGCACATGTTAACCTCATGTTTCAAAGGATGCTTTAATTTAAATCAACAGTTGCAACTTGATTTGTGTCTAAAAGCCACAAACACGCTCACCGCATTTTTTATTGATTAGTTTAGAAATACTTATTTTATGCCCTTTTTTGAACAATGAGCAATATTTTCTTTGAGTCAGACATCCATTTCCATGACTTCTCTTATCATCAAAGAAAATATTTTAGAAATGTTTACATGCAAGTTTATTTATTGGTAGTTGCCAATAGAGTAAAGCAAATTTGTTTTGAAAGATGGTCTGGAACTTTCGACAAATTTACAATAAAAAATTTATATGTGTGATTATTGACTCTGGACAAAATCTTGAAGAGCCTCGTTAATAAGCCTGCAAGTTGAAATACTTTAAATTCGATTCAAAATTTCTCGAAAGTATGGATGCAATCTACTTCCCGAAATCAATGTGATTTTGTCTGGGTTCTGAAATTTATGAACCAAGTAGAAGATCTTGTAATAATTATCAATAATTACCTGATACTCAGGCTATTAGGCAAACAAAAATCATATATTTTGTGGTAGATTTAAATGATGTTGTCATCTATAGTATTCTATAACTACATTAATATATAATTTTGTATAAAATTTCAAGAATACCTTTATTAAACAACTCTGTGGTGCTTACCGATACGATCCAGGGATTTCAAACCCTCTAACCACTATGCGTGATTCGCTGTCGTGATCAAATACTGCGAGAATTTTTCCTGTCTCTCTGTTGCATTTGACTTTTATTGGTTCTTGCATATTCTTGTGCTGAATCCAGTATACCCCATTGTTAAGGTCCCCTGGTAAGGCCTCTTTGCAGGAAGGATAAATCTGTAAAACTATTAAAAATGCTACAAATATTTAAAGAAATGGAAGATTGATCGGAACATTTATATCGGAATTAACAAACATTAAACCGTACAAACATTTCAGATTTTGCTGTTCGCACTAGAAATATAGACATATTTTGTAATTTAAACATAGAATGAAATGAATCACTACTTTTGAAGATTTCTTACTGATTAGCTTTGGCTTCTACAGGCAAGTTAGGTTTTTTTCTTGTTGCGTTTAGAAACTTGTTTAAAGATTTGGGTGTCGGAAATGTTGCGCTTGTCGCTAACAGTTGAGATTATGATCTTGGTTTGTCGGTAATCGTGAAAAAATTAGGGACGTCATTTCATAGAATTACTGGGAAAGTTTGAGGTGATTGGCTTTACTCGAACACATTTCACCGGTCAAAAACTGTCATCTCACAGGCACAAATAAGGGTGCAAGGAAGAGAAAGCTAAAGCTGTAGCCTTTTCTACATGCTCATTCGTGAAAGAAATCTTCGTGCAGAACATTTTTAAGACGTTGCTTGTTTTTGTTTTACTTCAAGCCTTTTTCCATTTCCTTCTATTTTTTCCCAGCTTTGTTTTGTTTTAGTCCAGATTATCCTAGAGTCAGCTGCTTTGATTCTGCCTCTCCACCTTTGCATCGCTTGCACCTTTTTCAACTCATTCCTCCAGTTGCAGAAATTCATTTTTCAAGTAGGGGGGGAGGCGATACCCACAAAAGCAAGCAAATTTGTCGGTAAAATTGTGTCATTTATCCGCCACGGTATTCTTTGCTGTTAAACGTTTTTCCTATTCTGACATTTGAAAGTTTATCATAATGCCAACGCAAACTTCTGTCCCATTGTTATGTCAAAATCAAGCCACTTTGAACCAGCAAATTATTGTAAAAGAAAGCTAACAGGCATTGCCTAGGATCCTCCTTTGGTCAAACTTGATGTTGTAAATATTTTTGATGCATTTTCTGCCTATCCCTATAACGTCATATTTCCAAACTTTTCTTGAATTCGGCCAAAATTTATAATCATTGTAGTGGCCTTTACTTAACCCTGGAGCAATCTAAACACTTTGCCTGTATAATCTTATTTGCTACATTCTTCTCCAACTTAAAAGTCATATAGCTAGAAAACAATAATTTTCCCCCCACAATGGCATGGTTTTCTCTTTCTTCTTATCCTTCGTTAGAATAAACCCCAGGCAATACAGTGAAAACGACACGGACCCAAATAAGGGATTGTAGAACATCCAATTTAAATCACCAACGCTAAATATAAATCAAGTATCATTGATGTTGCATACTATTCCTTGCAGAGATCACAAGTACAA